TAATACGGAGGGTCAGCTATCTTCATCTTACAGGACAGTGCTATGGAATAATAAGACAACATGTGGCATTTATCATAGGACCTGGCACTTGGGAAATGCTCAATAAAAGAAAGCACAGCGGTATTCTAGAGTGCTTCTGTTAAAATTAACTTGGGAATGTGATGTAAGGCAAAAGACAAAGATCTCAGAAGTACTAACTTTTAAACATTCAATGAAAATGGCACATATCCCCAAAAAGTTTCATGAGAAGTACAGCCTCAACTACAAAAACACAAATACATTCATTTCATTTAGCAATATTTTTAAAAATGTCAGCAAGCAGAATAGCAAGCACAAAGTAAGCCTTTGTTTGGTATCACACACCTTGACCCAACCTGATGGAAAACTCAGAAGGAAAAGGCTGCATTCTCAGCCTTGCTTTTGTTATTCCCTCTGCAGCCATCAAAGTATCACCAACTGAAATGAATCCATTCCCCTCTTACGGGTTGAAAACACCTAGACGCATCCAGGTTTCTCCAGGCCAGGAATTGTGACCCTTCTAGAGCTTTCAACAATCACAAACAGCCCGCTGCAGCACACGTGCCATAGAGTCACCGTCACTGCCCTCGAACACGGTTCTACCTTTGGGCCTCACCTCTACCGAGATTCAGAGTTTCTTCACATGAAATTCCAATCAAGAACTCTGTGCCTTGAGTTGGTCAACAATACCCAGGAAAAGATTACTTAGATTGTATTTCTAATGTTTAGAACAAGCAAATCCACAAAGACAGAATATACATTAGTGGTTAACTAGGGTTGCATATTTCTATATGCAGAGGTTGGTAGGAAATAAAAATAACTATTAATGGGAAGGGGATCTTTCTGGGGTGATAAAAATGTTTCAAGGTTATGTTGGTGGTTGTACAACACTGTAAATGTACTATAAACCTCTGGACTGAATACTTCAAATGGTTGAGTAGGACGGTAATAAGTCATATCTCAATAAACTTCATATCTGAATAATTGCACTTCCATACTCTCCACTCAGCTTAAACTATTTAGCATAAGCATAGTCTATTTCAAAAAGGAGAAGTTAAATATAAATGGGTATGTCCCCAGCAACCTAGTATATCCCCAAATCCAGAACTCAACTGTCTTGATGGGAAGACACAGTTCCTAAAAAGCCACAGCATCCTTCAGAACCAACAGTCGAATTCACTGTTATTTCTGTGAAACCACATTTAGTTTGCCACTGAGTTCGTGAGATAATTAGATAAGACACCCAACTTATTTAGCAAGCTTTTTGCACAAAGCAGAGAGAGGGGGCCAGTCGAGCCACTAAGGAGGGTAAGTTAATTTATCAAAAAGAGTGAAAATTTAAGCTACCAGAATATTTTTAGGAACACAGGAGATGTTATAAGGCTTATTTATTTTGTTACAATTTAACTTGTGGAGTTTTTTGTTTGTTTGTTTGTTTGCTTTTAGCATAACCACAACAATTCAAACACCAGGATCCTGCCTACCAGTGGCTAATTACACAAAAGTATGTGAATTACCAACAACTGGCACAAAGGAAGCATCAGCCTAACTTCTCACATCCAAGGCAAAAACATGTTCCCTCCGCACTTCATGACTTTTGCTCTGAGAATCACCCATCTTGACAGCCTTGAATGCTGGAAGATGGTAACACCAGCTACCAGTAACTGAGCAGTGCCGTGTAGCAGGCTCCACGGTAAGAGCTTCTGCCCCGATGCACTGCTTCCGTTTCTCACCACCCTAGGAAGTCAGTGTAGCTCTTCCCAGTTTACAAAGGAGGAGCTCAGGCTTAGTAACGCCCCAAATCGAGCAAATAAGTAATGGGGTCAAGATTTGACCCAGGAAATCCTAAAACTCTTCCATCCTCTATCGACTCTACAGAATAAAAGAAAAACAAAAGACTAACACAGAATCTTCTTGACGGAGACAACTATCAGGTCAGAAGAGAGGGTCCTAGGTGAATGAGTCCCCACAAAGAGGCCAGGACAAATCAATATCAAAACAACTGACTGCCAAGGCTCAAATCCACATCAAACAAGAACTTTCTCCACAGGCAAGACTTTTTTTAAATATGTGTCTCTGATTATTTTACTCTTCATCCTCTCTGTGTCCATACCAGGAGTCTATACTTCAGAGAAAGAGTCCAAGCGGTTCATTTTTATGAAGTCCATCACTCTCATCATATTCTCAAGGGAATTTGGAAGCCAAATGTGGGAAAACTCGACTTAGACTGATCTGGATGACAGTGTTGCTTCAGGGTTAAATGAAGTATCTCTGGAATTTCACAATCTATGTATAAATACCCTTAATTGCTATGTCACCTTGGATGGGTTACAGACCTCTCTGTCCCTAGGTTTCCTCATTCATAACCAGAACAATGACCTAGTTGAACTTTGCCTATCCCTGCAGGCCAGTTTCACTGTCTGATTCATACACAAAGGAAATCTAAATCCAAAGATCCGCAAAATATTAGTTATAGTCATAAAATAAAACCAATTATTTAATTATGTATATATATGTATTTATCCTTAAACTATACTGGAAAAACCACTGGCTTTTCATTTACAGTAATGATAAAGATAATCTGAATAAAAATATCACACAAATACTAATATGGCAGTATAGTAGCAAGCACTCATAGCAGAATGCCTGAAATCTAGGATAGTGATGGACCTTGCCCTCTTTAAGAATTCACATGTCCTGCTCAAGCAGTAGCTAGCAGCAGTAAGTGAGTAGTAGCAAAGGAGCACTGTTAGTTGTAGAGCAAGATATAGAGACACCAGAACACCTCATTTCCCATCAATCCTTCCCCTAGTTACAGGGCTGCTCCATTCCACTAGATAATTTAAATCCTGAACTCCATCACTGCAATGCTCCTCGGTGAAGAATTCTTAGGGCTGGAGGTGTAGCTCTGTAGCAGAGCACTTGCAAGGCCCTGGGTCCAATCCCCAGCACCACATAAATAAATAAATACACACACACACACACACACACACACACACACACATGCAGAATTCTTGCCTCCCCTCCAAATAGCCATAGGCAAAGTGCCATTCACTCAAATGCACTCACCTCGGATTTAATGCTAAGATGCAATTCCAAATTCTAGCCAGCTAGGTCCAAAGGATTCCGTCCTGAGCAAGGAGGATGCAGCAGGATCAAGAGCTCTGCAATGGCAGGAACTCCATTTCTGGGAGCTCAGACCAGGTGGACGCAACAGCTCTAACGCAGCTGCTAAAGCTATGCGCGTCTGAGCTAATCCTTCCCGCAAAGCTTACCTTGGTTTTCCATTTGCAAACTAAATGAAGGAACATGAGATAATTCATGGGAGAAGCAGTGCCTGGCATGGAATATGCGTCTCTGTACCACAGCAGAATATTACTGCTACATTCTCAGTGTCCAGTGTAGGACCCAGCACACAGCAGGCTCTCCATATGTTCGCCTGAGTGAAGCAGAGATCAATTAAAGCTGTCCTGAGGGTCAATCCAAATGCCTGAACTCAACTCGTTAGCGGGTTCCTAGTGTTACTTCATACCAAGGCCATGAGTTTCCTAGATCAAGGATGGTCCTCGCCATTGACAGACGAAGACTGTTCCTACGCTTCACAGCCTCTTTCAGAGACCCTGTCCCTGGAAAACCTCCTCACACCACAGTCCTGCAGTTCATTTCACCCCCAAAAGACTGGCACTTGCTGCCCTCGAGTTGTTGTCTCTTGCTTCATTTTTAGAAGAAACAGTTTCACAAAATGTTAGCTCAGGCAGTTGGCTTCTATAGTCTCCTATAAAGAGGCCTGGGACAACTCGCCCAGCTAGGATCCTACTCTGCAGAGCAACCTTTCTAAACGGAAAGATAGCACCTGTTAGAAAATACAGCACAGAGACAAGAAAAGAGTCAAAGACAATTCCATCATCTGCCTTCATGTTGTTCTCCATTCTCAAAACAAAAAGACGGACCTAACTACTTTTAAATGGGTAGACTGAAAAGGCACCAAAATACATTCTCATGAGGCAAGGTGTTCATCCCTAGAGCACTTTATTGGCCAGAAGGAGAAACCCTTGGCTCTGCAAAAACTCAAGCAGAATGCAAATTTCACTTCTCCCTTGTACCAAGAGGGAAAAAAAGCAAAAACGCTTAAAAAGAAAAAAAGGCCTAGAACCTTTAAGATGAATTTAAGCTTCTCCTTTCTGAGGTACGGAGAACATTCTTCCTCAGACCTCTGAGGTTTCAAGGATAATGGAAGAGGTAAAAAGTAGAGTGAGGAAGAAGGAGAGGGAGAGAGATGGAATATGTTCGTTCTATTTTTAAATGCTCGCCCACAGTTTAGAGTAAAGGAACACTCCGATTCTGTACTCCCACCCCATCACCTCCTGCTAAACACAAGAATCGGAACCTGCACCACGTACACGACCCTGATTCTAGATCTGGGGGCTACTGGCTGCCAATACGCCCAGGAATTGGGAAATAACCAACCATTCCACCCAGAAAACCCGGCGGCCTTCAGTATGCTGAAGGAGCCTACGGAGCGAAACAGTCACACCCCGACTTTCCCCGGGGGAGGCAACGAACCCCAGGCACTCTTCCTTCCCACGGCTGGGCACCCAAGATTGAGCTACTCTTCCCCTAAGGGAGCCGGAATCGTGCAAGCGATGGGCTTCGCAGAGGGCTGCGGCAGTCTGGGCACAATGGTCCCGCTCCAGGGACACCTGTGTGCCGCGCACACCCACCTGCCCGCAGAGAACCGCCCCGAGCACCGTCCCCTCCCGGCCATCCCGGGAGGCAAACGGCCGGGCGACCCGTCTCCTTCCTCCTCTGACCGAGACTGTCTCGCCCGCTTGGCGTATCCTTCCTGCCTCAGCAGAAACATCGACACCCGTCACCCAGTGCCCCGGGGAGAAACCTGCAGCGCACGAGAGACCAGGGCTGAGCGGAGCCCCGCAGACCCTTCCTGCCCGGGTCCCCGTCCCCGCCGGGCTCCGGACACTCACTCTTGAGCGCGACGATGAGTGACTTCCCGTCCTTGATGAGCTCCTTGATGAATTTATTGGTCTTGTCCAGCTCCGCTTCGTGCGACTTGAGGGTCTCTCGGAAGTGCGGGCTGTCGAGGCAGCAGTCGCTGAACTCCAGCGCGGGGAGCCCCATGCTGCCCGCGGCGCCCAGCCGGGGGGCGACCCAGCAAGACACAAGAGGCCAGGGCCCAGCCCTGAGTTTCATTCATAGTAGCGACCTGTGTCTGTCCCTTCTCCTCTGTTAGAGACAATTTAGAAATGACTCCATGACTTCTACCTTCAGAACAGAGCAAATTGTAAATACACTGAAAGGAGTGGACAATTTATTTCTAACAAAATTGGAATGAATTCCTATAATCAACCTGGCCTTCTCCAACATGGTTTTTCTGACATTCTTTGATTCAGAGAAGACATATGGAATTAACCTGACAGATAAATTGCACTAAAATGTTATTAAGTCTGAACACAGACCTGATAGAAAAGAAACAGAAAGAAGAGAAGAGAAAATTCCTAAAAATATCGAGCGCCCTCTCACAGAAGCCTCGGCAGCCCCGCCGGCGTCCAGACCGCTCGAACCTGCTAGCGATGACCTAATCCCTCCGGGCCAATCAGCGCGCCTGCCTCAGCCCGACCCCCAGGGCCGCCGGGGGGCCGCCTAGCCCTTCCGCGAGTTTGGTCCAATCAGAGAGTCAGGAGGCGGGGCCTGAGTGAGGGCGGAGCCCACGCCACCCCTGGATCTGCAGAGCAAGCACCGCCCTCTCCCGCCCGCGGGGTATTGCAGACCCCGAGCCCTAGGCGTGAGTAGTGCTGTGCCAGGTCCCTCCCCACCCGGGACCTTGCTGCCAGCTGTGGTCCTAATCCGAGCCGGAGATAAAGCGTCTGCTGATGTAGGAAAGGAAGACGCCTAGATGTGCCCAGCATGAAAAATCTAGACAGCTCTGTAGCCGGCCCTGCACTGCTGGGCTACTGAGGTTACCCTAAAAAATGCAACCCCGTCCATCGGGAGTGCCCTGAGCAGCTTACACTCCTCTTCCAGTCCTGGAGAAAATGTTGTTTGCATTTTTAAATTACCAAGTCTTCTCACCTGCTGTCTTCCCGCCTCTACAGTCCGTGCCCCTGTCTGCCACTCCTGCTCAAAACCCGCCCACTGCCGCTCCTTGCCGGGAACTCACGTCCTCAGAATTTCAGCCGCTTGTTATTCTCTTGCTGGGCACCTAGAACCATTTTTACACAATTACTTTCAATGCCTGTTTGTGCTTTGATTTCACGCTGTGAGCCTCACGAGGGCTTGTGCCGCCGCAGTTTTCTCCCCTGCTCTTGCATCCCAGCACCTGGAAGTCGGCAGGCATTTGATAACCGATATTGTATGCTTGCCATATGCTAAATGTACTCCTGTGCTTGATAAATATTTGTGGCATAGAGAACCCTTCCCCTTGTCCCGCTCCAACTCCCACCCCCAGCTCGGTGACCCGTGGTCCCTCTATAGGACCCGCGGGCCTGGACCCCGACAGCTCACTGGTCCTACAATTGTCAGGGTTAGTACCACGGGGTCTCTAGTGCTCAACTGTGAACTCCTGGAGAACAGGGGCTGCCCTCGAATAATTATTTCCAAGTCCAAGTATTAGCAGCCCTCCGTTGAGTGTGTGTGTTTGGGTTTGCCTTTATTTTTTTTAATAAATCTGCTATGTGCGGGCACTAGCTAGCAAAGGATACAAAGATGAACACTGAATGAACTTCACTGCCTCTGTTCTGGGTAAGACAAAAGCAAACAAGCAGTAACAGTGCTGCCTGATAGGATGTAAGGCCCGGATGCCTGAAAGCCCCATCTATGTTGAAAAACTAGTAGATCTATTTATTTAATTCATGGATGAATGAATGTGATCTATTTGCTAACTGTAGCTACAAATTTAGGCTTGATAGCAAAGCCAGACTGTTGATACTTACAACACTGAAAATAGTCATTCCTCACTTGGGATGGATGAGAAAAATCAGAAATTGAAATGCCACGAAAGTAAATCCATTTGATGTTTATCTTGAGCGACTCAGGGTAGGTGTTCTAGTTATCTATTGATATATAACAAATCTGATGAAAAAACATAATTGTTTAAGGCAACGCAATCATTTTCTTTTCTGATCTCTGCGGAGCAGGAATTTGGAGAGGGCTGTCTTGTGATTGCAATGGTCAGACGGTGACAGGAGCCAGAGAAGGGGTGGTTTGCTAGGCTTCTCCCTCTCCAGGAAGACTCAAGGTTTCTCCATGTGGTCTCCTTTAGGGTTCCTCGAGCATAGCAACCTCGGGGCTCTAATGTGAGCATCCCAGAATTACCTCTTAAGATCCAGCCTTGGAAGTAACACTACCTTCACTGCCTCTGGGCAAGTCACAAGCTGGCCCAGACTGAAGTGGGAGAGGGATGTTCGAAAATATCTCTAGAGGGGAGTCTTAGACATTTCTAAAAAATAGTCTGCCAGGAGTCCATAAAATATTAAATGAATGAAACAAAGTGAAACCCATAATTATTTGTTTCATCTCATTGAGGGATATTGGGCAAATGTGTACATAATACATTTGTGATTAATGTATGTATTAATAATAGATTAGCTATCATTTGTTAAACTGAGTTTGTACCAGAAACTATGTTTGATTTTAAAAATCGATTTAATCCCACAGACTGGGGCTATGATAAACCTCATCTTCCAAAATGAGAAATCAGGGCCCATAGTTGTATCTTTAACCAGTTTACATACTTAATGAGTCCGAGTGGGACAAACATATCATGTAATATGCCCGTTCAGAGAATAATGAAAGTATATAGATAATGTGTACACCACTTATAAATTTAATTCAGAATTTCCACATAAGCTCTCACATGCTTTCGGCAGTATTCTCAGAAAAACAGAATCAGAATGCAGCAGCATTGGGTGCAGACTCTGGTACTCAATAGTTGTCTCTACCCTAGAAAAGCAGCTCCATGAGGATAGAGATTGTGTGGTGGTCAGTACTGCAGCCCCAGCTTAGAAAAGCACCTGGAATCCTTCAGAGTTGCTCCACAGCAGTGGGAGGAGCACGTGTTTAAGAAGGAAGGAAGGTGCTTCATGTGATAGTATAGGTTTATGGCCGTGCTGTACAAGCAGAACAGTCAAGGCCAGAGATCACATGAGATAAGTTAGGCAACATTATTTGGTTGAAATTCCTTCAAATTAGCCACAAAAATCAGTCCAACTATTTCTGCTTTCAATATCCGTGCATTTTAAATCCATATTATCTCTGACTTCAGTTGTCCACTTAGCTGACTTCCCTAAATTTTTGTGGAATTGTTTTATTTTGTTAAGCCTCCCCCCACCCCATGCTAGGAATCAAATCCTAGGCAAGCTCTCTGCCACTGAGCTACCCTGACTGCCCTCTGTAGTGGCTGCATTCTCAAGGGCTGTCTGGACTTCTCTAACTTTGCTTTCAGCAATATTCAGTGACAGTTTTCCTTCTAAGAATTCCAGCAGAAATGACAAGATAGAAGCCAGTGATAAAACAGCCCCATTCAAACACATTAAAACACTGGGAAGTTTTTCTTTCCCCAAAGGACAAAGAAAGGCTGGTATCAGGGAAAGAGGGAATCCTTGCTGAATAGGCAGAAGCAGTACTATACAGTGCACATGACCTGTGCACCGGCCTCCACAAAGGCAATGTTTCTTCTGCTGCATTCCCATGGTTTCATAATTCTAGTTAGCACTTATTCATTCTTTTTTATGGTTGGTAACATATGTTACTTTACACAGTGATTTTCCTTTGTGTTATTACTGGCTAAGGCATCAGGTTTCCTATTTTAAAATAATGATCTTAAATTGATGCAAATGTTCTCTGTCTCAGCATCTGCCAAAACTTATGGGAGCATTGTGTTATATGTAAATTATACCTCAATGAAAATTGACTTCAAAAATAATGATGATGATGATGATGGTGAGACTGATTAGATATTTCCTGTGTAGTAGGCACAGTGCTAAACACGTTATTACATTTCCTTGTTTAATATTAGCTACAGCCTGGTCCCCTTCCTCGGCTGTGAGTGGATCTGCAGGACCGTAGACCAAGACACTACAGACGTGTGAGCACACTAGGCAGTGAGTAGTAGCTCTCCAAGTCTGCATCCAAACTACGTACATTGCAAAAAATGGGAAAGAAACAAAATGGGAAACGTTAAAAAGTCAAGGTGGCAGAGCTTGAAGAACTGGTGGTAAAAAAGGTACTGGACCAACATGCAGTGAGTGGAAAGGTGGAGGATTTCCTCAAGAGGGAGGGATTCGCGGATGCTGACCTTACGAGGGAACCCGAAGGAAATCTAGATTGTTCAGAGTTAACGGGAGCATTTCTTAGTTCTCTGGAAGCTGGTAAAGAAAAAGATGGTATGGAAAGAAAACCTTTATCTGATCGTGAGTCTGATGATAACAGATCAAAGAAGAAAAGAGATGCTGCTGACAAACCAGGAGGCTTCCCCGGAGATCTTGACCCTGAACGAGTAATTCACGCCACGGAGGGTAGGGGCAGTTGATGCTTCTCACGGAGTGGAAAGATTCACATGAGGCTGACTTGGTGCTGGCAAAAGAGGCAAACACGAAATGCCTTCGAATTGTAATTGCTTTTTATGGGGAGAGACTAACGGCATCCCTGTCCAGAAAATGAAGTTAAATAACAATTTGCATTACATATATTAATATGTATAATATACATAATTGGTCTTGGTTTTTAATTTACTAGTGTGAAAAAGTAACTATTCTAATGAAAATCAAATTTAATATGTTGGTTTTGAAAGTAGTATTGGTGAAGTTGTTAGATTTTTTGTTTTTGTTTTGTTTTACACTAATAGCCCCAGATACTTTGAACAAATAAAAGCTTTCTGTAGTTGCTTCATCAGAAAAGAGCACCTGATAACCTGTTGTATTTCCTCTGCTTTTCTAAATACTGAGGAAATTTTCCATAGTCGAGCTCAATCAGAGCTCTAGATCACATGCTTCAGGACCAATCTGAGTTTTTGTCTATATACAAATAAATAAATACTATGTAAATGCCTTTTGTTTTGTTTTCAAACATTTACCAAAACAAACACCATGGGTGTTGTCTATGTCCCTGAGATGCCATCATAATGAACAACCTAACAAATAAATC